TGGGAATCTCCCCGGTTTCTTCTGCTGGTAAATTATTTATTTGTATTGCTGTTCTCCAGGCTCCTACGTGAAGACCTTACCCTGCTGCTTCTACTCCTTTTATATCTTCATGCTGTTTAGCCCACCGGAGACTCTACAGGGCTTTTTGCTACTGCTGTGTTGAAAGAATGATTTAACACTGGTTTTGATGTTTTCAGATAGCTGTTCCTAAACCTTCTGTTGGCCTGCTTAATTGTATTTTTTACATTTTAATCTGTCGGTTTGAACCATTCTATTTTAATCTGTATACAACTTCATATTTCTATAGGATGCCCTTTTTTGTTTGTTTCCAGTAATAGCCTTTTGCTGATCAGCCGTGCCAGCTTTTCTCCTCTTTTCTCAAGCCTTTCCTAATAGGTGATATGTACCGCTATGGTACTTGGGCATGTGATGTCCTTCAGTAGTCCGCATGCTTCTTAAAAGGATTTGATTTTCTTAATTGCTCCTTTTAGCTTCTTTTGAACAAGCTTCCTCGTTTTTCTCTTCTTGAAATTTAGCACAGCTGTGGTGGATTTGCTTTTGTTGTTCATGTGGGAGCGTTGACTCTTAAGTATATTATGGACACTGTTACATAGTATTTCCATTATGAAATTTTGAATCTGATCCTGCTTGTCGCTCAGTACCAAATCAAGGGTTGCGTTTCTTCCTACTGAGCAAGTGGTTAGCAAGCTCATGAAACAGTCAGTGATAGCATCTAAAAATGTCACCCCTGCTTTGTGTCCTGACATGACACCCGCCTGGTCTGAGCGGGTAATTGAAGACACCACTAAAATTGTATTTCCTGCTCTTGTAGCCTGTTTGATCTCTTTCAGCATGTTGTGGTCGGGATTGTCTTCTAGTAATACTGATCCAGCACTACATTTTTGCCTTTTTAAGTATGGAATTTCAGTCCATTTGAATTCTCTTTCTTACTGAGATTAGTTTGGATTTGATTCGAAGCTTTCTAACAAGGTATTAGCATTCCTTGACTGGCACAGTTTTACTCTGCTGTGTATTTCATGACCTGGCACTATCGCATCACATTGATTTGTTAGGTGAGTGGGAAATCTTGTGAAAGAAAGAATCTGTGACTTCATTTAGGATCAGAAATTCTATTGTCCCCGTCTTATTTCATAGACTTCTAGCGTGTGCTGGAACTGCTGTTTTGGTTCATTTCTGGGCATCCTATTTAAATGACAGTTTGTCTTCTCTTTCCTATTTGATGATTACCATTCTCTGACCATCCTGTACTTAAGCATAAGAATCTTGTGTCTCTCTCTTCAGAAAAAAATGTTGTGCCTTTCCTCTTGTGATGTTCCAAAGAGAATGTATCTGGAATGAGGTTTTGAAGGAATTTGTTGGCTTTTCCGCATTCCTCAGTTTAAAAGCTCACTTGCAAATTCCTCGATTTGAAGTGCCATCAGTTTGGTTTTCTCAAACTAAACATCTGTGTAAATGAGTAGCATAGTGCACTAGACTGGATATTTAGAACAAAAGAGTTGGTACTGAGGAGCTAGCAGCTATACTATACGTATTTGGGGATTTTTACTTTGCATTAACTCTTGTTTGATCATCTCGACTAAATTCCTGTTAGCAGATGAGAGCATTTGGTGTGCTCCCTCAGCATGTTTGCTGGATTTATTTCACGTGAGAAGGATTTAGTTCTTGCAAGGCAAACCAAAGCATAGTAAGTGGGAACGATCCAGAGATTCACTTGAAAAACATGCTCCTGATCCAAACTGAAAGGCTAACATACCTTTATGGTTCAGATGAAGGCTATCCGTCTTAATACATGTTCTATTTGTTCTGGAAGTATCCCCAATTCCTGAAGAATCTGAAACTTTCTTGTCACAATCTTTTCAGACAGGTGTTTAAGTCCTGTGTCTCCACCTTTCTTCTTGGACCTGCATCAGCACCAGCAGAGCTTCAGAGCATTAAACATTTAATACTTGTCTTAAAATAGTGATAATGTATGTTGCAAATACATCTTTTATGTGAAAGGGGCTTGGGACTTCAGCATTGTAATCAATATTTCTATTGATTGTGGCTGGAAAAAAAAATTAGAGCACATTTTGCCTAGAATAGGGTTTCATCTCATTTGTGCAATATTAAAAATTACATGGCAATTTAATAATAAAATATTAAAATTTATAGGATTCTTGTTAGTGCAGTAATTGTGAGAAGTGTTCATGTTACTCTAAAGCTCCGATATCCAACTTCTGCAAGAGGTGTTTGGCAGCACGGATCAGGATTACTATCCAAAATGAGAAGTGAGGTATTTGCTATTACTATACCTTAGTGATTCCTATTCGCCACTAAAATTGAAGGCAAAAGAAATGATGTGTAGTCCGAGTGTAATTTTTATACTGAATCTACAAGAGAAATAAATTGTATAAAACATAGCAGCGCAAGTTCCTGTTTTCTTTTAAGAATGTATCATTGACTGCTTACGTTATTTGTAAAAACTTGTTTTCTGAATTAGCCACAGCCAGCGAATGTGCTTCCCTCATGTGGGCTGTGTAGGTGTACGAAGATGAGCAAATCTAAGTACAGGATTATATGTAGTGTATGAAGGTCAGAAGCTGAAAGTCTTAAGAGCTATTCTTCATCTCCCAAGCAAAAACTATAACCTGGTTGGAGCAGTGTTGAATCTAGCCCGCAGATTGGGCAGCCGTCGTCTGGCGCGCTGCTGGGTCAACCCTAATGGTATCAGGAAATCACACCCACTTTCCAGTTCTGAGCTTGCACTGTCCTTGCAATTAAACTGGGTGGAGTAGGCAAGTGTTTGCTTGTAATATTCTAATGTGCATGTACAATAAGAATCTTTCTCAAGGTTGTAAACCTAAAAGTACTATTTTCATGTTTTTATACAGATAATTGATTATGAGAAGAATCAAACACTAGGACAAAACGATACTGGATTTAGTTGTGATGGAACGGCCAGTACATTCAGAGTTATGTTCAAAGAACCTATAGAGATTTTGCCAACGGTTTGCTACACAGCTTGTGCAACGTTGAAAGTAAGAATGCCTAACAGTTCAGAAGAAAATGTTATTTTGATGCAAGAGTTGTTCTTTTATCTGTCTTCTGATGGTGTCGTGGTTTATCCTCAGCTGGCAACTGACCACCACCCAGCCGCTCGCTCGCTCACTCCCCCCCCGGTGAGATAGGGGAGAGAATCAGAAAAGTAAAAGTGAGAAAACTCGTGGGTTGAGATAAAGACAGTTTAATAATTGAAATAATAATAACAATAAAAGAATATGCAAAGCAAGTGATGCACAATGCAATTGCTCACCACCCGCCGACTGATGCCCAGCCAGTCCCCGAGCAGCGGTCCCCCCGGCCAGCTTCCCCCAGTTTATGTACTGAGCATGATGTCACATGGTATGGAATGTTTCTTTGGCCAGTTTGGCTGTGCACCCTCCCAGCTTCTTGTGCACCTGCAGCCTTCTCAGTCGGTAGAACTGAAACATCGGTGTGTTATCAACGTTATTCTCCTCCTAAATCCAAAGCACAGCACTGCACCAGCTACTGGGAAGGAAATTAACTCTATCCCAGCCAAAACCAGGACAGATGGGAAAGTGTCTTCTAGGTCTTGAATTTATTTTAAGTTTAGCACTAAAGAAGGCCGTAGTTAAACTCCACGATAACTTTTAGGACTGCTGCCTCTCTTCTGTGCCACAGCACAGAATTCACAACTGGATCCTTTGTGCCTTCCCACTTTCTGGCTCGATGTAAGAGTTAGAATGAGTCACTGGTTCCATGGAAGTTAAGTGACTTAATGGAAGTCACTGGTTCCATGTCAGCAAAAGCACTATCTAGAATATTTAATCTGGCAGCTCTCTGTCAAAATCTAAGTTTGATTTCTTTTATCAAGGATATTCTAACCACTAGCTAGAGTCAAGAAAACAGAAAGCTGCTTTTTATCTCTTTTTGTATATTAGTGCTGGCCACTTCCATTCAGTTGCTTCCGATGTTTTTCAGGGTCCCGATTCCCACTACGGAACAAAAGGTTTGAAGAAAGTGATCCACGAATCTCCTACTGCTAGCAAAACATGCTTTGTCTTTTATAGCTCACCGGGCAACAACAATGGTACATCAATAGAAGATGGACAGATACCAGAAATAATATTTTACACGTAATTTCACGTGATCATCTCGACTGTGTCAGTGTATCGGTGGACTTCAGCTCACTAGTGGCGGCAGTTAAAAAATTCTGTGAAATTACATGAATGTGTAAAAACAAAACTAACTTGTTTGAGAGGTACCAGAAAAGCTCTTTTCTCTGCATCGTTATCGGCAGAATGTAATTTAGCTTTTCCTCTTAACAAAACGTCAAGTGGAATACGTACTCTGTATATTGACAAGACTGGTTTAAATAGTATCTTGCGATTAACCGCTTTGTATTTTCACCCCTTCATTACTCATGTAGTAAAAGTCATTTTTTGAACTGGAAAATCCTTATGCATCGTGAACTTCTTGCGTACGTTTTCCCTAACCTGTCCTCAAAAGGCAGTAAAGCTGCTGCTGTAGTCCCAGCTTACGCTTCTTTCCCAAACGGCCTTGGAATGGCCCTGTGGACGTCAATCGCTACTAGCTTACTTTTGAAGTACGTCAGCAACGCCGGATTCATAGCGCTGTCATCTTGAATTTTTGGATGGGCTGTGGAGCATTAATGGACTTAGCACCGCAGGCAGCATCTGCAGCTGCGCTGAAGAAACGCGAAGTCAAATTCGGCGGTAAACAGATCTTTCCAGAATCTCTCTTAACGCGGAAGGGCCGTTTTGGAACGTGGGGCTGGTTATGGAAATAGCCGCTGCATAGACACACGTGCCTATGAGAGAATGAGAACGCAAGACTTGCAATGATGTCGTTTTACCGTTGGTATTCGAATACCAAAAAATTAGTATGAACTGAAGGATTGCTTGTGGGGGGGAGTCTGACAGGTCGCGTGCAACAATGGCAGCGATGGCTGTACCTACATGGCATTGTCTTGCAGTATGTACCACGTATGTACCACCCTGTACGAAGTCCTGTACCCTCCCCCAGATGATACTAAAGTAATAACTTGAGAACACGGTGGGTTCTCAAACTCCTCTTTTCTCTTCCCTAATTCCTCTTTAA